GATGAACTGTTTTTCACATTTTGGCGTTTCCCGAGAAGTCGTTGAAATGTTGACTGAAATGTTTGCAAAAAATCCCTAATTTCCAGAAATCACAAAAGACAAGGAGAAAATATCTGCTGACAAACACATTTTGATGAACACAATTTGATATATGAATTCAAAGAGAACATTTTAATTTCCTAAGACCACCTATAAAACCAACACATTCTATGTTGTTGCTCAGAAAGTATCTCATATCAACATAGCAATGCGAAAGTGAAAACGAACAGTGTGACAATATTAGTGCAGGCTCACGTGATCTTCGTTTGGTCCATTCTGATGTATAGATAATTATAATATGAATTATCATATTTCGAAACTTATACTAAACTGCTCAACATTGATAAAGTCGTAGTCCAAAATATAGCCTGAATTCAAAGTAGAATAACTAATTATTTCCTTTCCAATTTAAAATCGGATTTCACCGATGATTAGCCTGATCTTTTGACAGTTTGTTGTGGCAATATGAAACTTTCGTAATTCCAGATAACATTGCTACAGGGTGATAATTGAATGGGTGTAAAATTGCATCGTGGTCGTCACCTTACCGTTTGAACAGATAATTTTTTTATTTTTTTTTCACCAGTATCCTCTTGATTGATCCTTTCTCTCAAAACGTTTTTGGAATTCTCCAAATCAGAGCTTTGATAAGCGTATTATGAATATTCATTCAAAATGATGCATTTTTTCGACGATTAATTGAATGAAATTGAAGGTTGGAATTCTTTTTCGAAAAATCAACCTTGAATGTTTAGTCGACGGATATGTGATCGTGTTCGAAAACAGAAAATCCTGAAGTAGTCTATACGAAGTGATACAAGAAATACTGAATGATGGAATGGAGAATAACGTCGTAGATGTCAGAATCCACTTATGTCTCAAATATTGAAATGATGAATCTTAAATGTTGATAGTTCTCATTGAGTCACCCTAGGTGTTCGATAGAATGAAAAACAAAAGTTGTACCTATAGATGAGAAAAGAAGAACATAAGATGTTTCACTGGCTAATGCCATCATGCAGAACTGAGATGGAAATTTTAGTTGTGGAGGGTTTCTTTCTGGCTGAATTGAAACATGTTAGCCTTCTCATTGCAGAATCGCACATGCATTATTATAGTGACGTTTATTATAAGGGTTCCATAACAAATTCAACTACATTCATATCTCACTAGCTGACTCCGCAATCGTTGTTTAGCTATCTACTTTCACATTATATTTCTAGAAAATAATTTTTCAGTTGAGTATCATCATTTTATTTTTTACTTCTTCCTAAATACTGTCTGTAGGTTTATTGAGGAGGTGGTACATTCATTATTCCAAATTCTTTGGGATTTTCTCTCCTCGTTTCTATAAAATAAAAATATGAATATTATTTCAATATACGTGTAGTAAGGACAAATCAGATGATTTGCCCCAAAATGTCACTGCGTTTAAAGAATTTTCCTATCAGAGAGCCTAGAAGAAAAATTCACTAGCTTGTCATTGACAATCTGTATTGAAAAATTTTTGGAGAAGAGAAATAAAGATCTTTGGACGTTTCGGGACCGATTCTGCTCTTGTTTCCAACATAAAGAGATTTTTTCAATTGCGAAGTCGTATTATATGTCTTCGAGCTTTTCAGTTTTCAATGACAATTGGTGACGTTGGCAATCAAAGGAGTTACAGGATGTTTTCATTAATTGATCTTGAATTTACCAACATATGGCAGAGTGGAATAATATTAAAATCATTGGAAAAGAAGATAACAACCAGAAGAGAAAAATCAAGGAATCTGCTTGCATTCTTCTGAACGGAGACAATAGCATTGCTTCTTGTTCAGTTGATATAGACAGAACATGGTATTCACTACTAAAATCTGAACATGAAAATGGTAAATTCAAGATCAATTAATGAAAACATCCTGTAACTCCTTTGATTGCCAACGTCACCAATTGCCATTGAAAACTGAAAAGCTTCAAGACATATAATACGACTTCGCAATTGGAAAAATCTCTTTATGTTGAAAACAGGAGCAGAATCGGTCTCGAAACGTCCAAAGATTAGTGAAAATTTGATATTTTTTCTATATACCTTTATTTCTCTTCTCCAAAAATTTTTCAATACAAATTGTCACTGACAAGCTAGTGAATTTTTCTTTTAGGCTCTCTGATAGGAAAATTCTTTAAACGCAGTGACATTTTGGGGCAAATCATCTGATTTGTCCTTACTACACGTATATTGAAATAATATTCATATTTTTATTTTATAGAAACGAGGAGAGAAAATCACAGAAAATTTGGAATAATGAATACTTCTTCCTAGTCTGGCTATCTATGAAAGCGTGTTTCTTCAGTTTTTCAGCCTACCATTCTTTTCATTCCTTTTTAGTACACTTGAATTTCTCAATTCTGACGAAAGAATCATAAATGTAAAAACTTCACAAACGATAAGATTTCCACAAAAAAAAAATTTTTGTGGAAGTCTTATCGTTCGTGAAGTTTTTACATTTATCATGGATTTCCATCAAGTAACGGCCGAGTCAAATCAAAATAGAAAGAATCATAATCTCCGACTCCTGAAACCCCAGATGAAAATGTTGAATAGAATAGGATCATAATTACAAAACTCGTCTGCCATGTTCGATTCGTCATCTTCTATTTCTTGATTTTGTCGAACGGAGCATGATTTCCGATCCCGAAAACTCTCACTCACAAATTCTTGATAGAATTACAAAACTTGTCCGCCACATTGAATCCGTCATCTAGAATTTCCTAATTCTGACGAAGCAATTATACACGAAAACCTCTTGCTACCAATTATGAATCGAATCAGATTATAATTACAAAACTCGTCTGCCATATTGTTTTCGTTATCTCGAAATTCCAATTCTGCCCGAATTTACAAATTTTGACAAGAGAATTATGATCTCTGACTCCGAAAACCAATTCACGGATACCAATTTTCAATAACATCGAATCTTAATCACACAACTAGTCCGCCTTCTTGGATTTCTTGATTTTCACGAAGGAACCATAATCTCCTATCTCGAGAACCCCCAAATACCTATTCTGAATAAAATCGGATCATGATCACAAAATCCTCCATATTGGATCCGTCATCTTGAATTTCCTTACGGTACCAAGATAAAAAGTATCCAATATATGTTTTTTTCCTGGTTCTATAAGCTACCTCTACACTAATTTTCAGCCAAATCGGTTCAGCCGTTCTTGAGTTAAAAATAGTTTATAAATAGTGCAATTCCTTCCAATTATAATAATATTGATGACGAATCTTCCACAAGAATTCTTGAGAAATATGAAACATACTTTGAATGATTTGAAGCTATACCTATTTGACAGATAATTGAAAGAATGTCTGATATACTGATATACTGATGACTACAAATATCGTGGATTGATTGATAGCCTTTATACATTTCAAAGCCGCGTCGCTCTTAAACAAGTATATACATAGTGATTTTGAATGCAATGTAAATATATCAAGGACGTATTGTTGGGATCAAAATGAGCCATTTTTTATCTCGAACATGTGTCCTGAAATGCTTCCCCTTCGAACTAAAGCCACAGTGAGTTGACAAAAAAAAAATATCTGAAACCATGATCACAATAACAGATCGAGTGCCAGTATTCCAGTGCTGCACGCCTCTGAAATAGCAGTTTCAAATGCGTTCCGGATGCGACATACGATCACCTCCGTATCCAAGCGTTCAACCCGCGTTCGAAAACGATGTTGTGACGGTTAGTTATATAATAAAATTGCAAAAGAACAAGTTTTTTTATTTTTCCATAGTCCACAAGATCATCTCATTCAAAGTAAGAGTTTATATCATCGAACATAACATTTGGGCCAATAAAACTGTGGACCTCCCTTCAACTTCCCCAATAATGGGTTCACATCATTCGTGGAGCAAGAAGAAAATGAAGTGTTCAAAAAGACAGCTGCATGCCCATTTTCAAAAGATTTGGTTCGTTATTTCAGTCACAATTTTAGATAACTTATCTTCACCTAACTTACTGTAGATGTAGCTCTCCTTTTGATCCCAACAATATGTCCTTGGAATTTCAACATCACCCTGTATAATAATAATAATACAAATAATGTTTCTCTCCAAGCGGCAGGAAAAATAGCTTCTGTCTGACACTCAACAGGCAGAAAAGGTGTACTTTCTTTGCCTAGGCAGAGAAAGTTTGCTGCTATGCAACGTTTCAAGAAATGCGAATGAAATTGGTCATCAAAATTGACACTGACATTGAGTGAAAACAAAATGATAGAGTTTTCAATAAAAATAAATCTCACTAAATTGTTATTTTAACAATTGGAGAAAACATTATATGTTTCACACAGCAGTGAATGTAGATTGACTGCGTAGTAAAACGAATAACTATTATTCATCAATAATTGATAATTGATAATGATATCAATATAGATATGAAGAAACTTTTGAAAAAATTAAGAGGAATAAATCTTCAGAGGAAAGTACCATTGTACTTGTTTCGCGGAGGATTCAAGATTCTCACAAATCAATGATGATGATTGCATTTAGAGTCTCAATCTAAAAAAATGCTCAATTGAAACAAGCCCATTGAAAAGAATCAATAAAATGAGAAATTGGTATTGGTATTTGGTTGATTAACAATCAACTCTGTGAAAATATTCTTCTTTTTACTCGAAAACTTGTATTCAATTGATGATCACCTTGTGTATGTATTATCCGCGGGGACCTGCATTAGAATCATTTGAAAGTGACCCCACTGCTAAACCAATAATTGAAACGTCACAAGGATACGTACGCCCCTCTACTATACTAAGTTACGAGATAGATTCATAATTGCATTATAATTACAGTATTTTTATATCATACACGATCATGCTAGGCAAACTGGGATGAACAAATGTTGTACAAGGTCGCCTGTTCCGTTTATGATGTTATAAATAAATTATAAACAACGACTAGGCGAGCATGCTCACAGTCGTAGAAATGACTTCAGTAGCGCTATCAGCAGAACAACAAAAACTCATAGAAAAAATCTCCAAAGAAAATGGTTTCACGGACTATGAAGTCAAAGCCATATCGGGCAGTGCGAAAGGTGACAACTACTTAGGAGTAATCACTTCGGTTACAATCGAGGATGGTAACAATAAATTGGAGCTCATACTGAAATCAGCTCATGTGGGGGAGATCAGGAACCAGATGCCAATACACAAAGCCTACATGCGCGAAATATTCGTTTACGAGCAAGTCTTCGCGAAGTTCAAGAAGTTCCAAGAGGAGTACCGCATATCCGAACCTTTCCAGAGTTACCCTAAGCTCTATGGCACCTGTGATACCGAATCCAGCGAGTGCTTGGTCATGGAGAACCTGCGAGAAAGCGGTTACAAACTGTGGAACAGAAAGCTACCCATGAACCCAGAACACTTAACCGCAGTTATGAAAGAGTACGCCAAACTACACGCAGTTTCCTTGGCTATGAAGGAGAAGCAGCCGGAAGCGTTCAAAGAGCTGACCAAGGATATGGGAAAGCATACCTTCGTGGATGATATTGAAGATAGGGGGAAAGCTGCTGCATATGTGAGTTCTGTGATGGGCAATATTTGGGGAGCTTTCGAACATGATCCTGTGACTACTGAAGTTCTGAAGGGGTTCGAGAAACGTCTGCCTGACATGTTCACGGAACTGACCACATTGTCTGATGAACCTGTGGTGATCGATCATGGAGATTGTTGGTGCAATAATTTATTGTTCAGTTACAAGGTGAGAAAGAATTTGTCGTTGTGCATGGTTTTCTATGCATAGCTTGGGCCATTTCTTTATCAAGAACACGGATGATGATGCAAAGAATTATTTTTGTATGAACGCGAATAGACTACTATCAAATCATTCATCATGATATTTTCCTCACAAAAGCCTCAAAAAATATGAATTGTCAATATTGAAGGAGGATAATTTGTTGATAATATCATTACTATCCAGCAACCTAGTTTATATCCTGATGCTCCAGCCTGTGATAATGATATTCTCTACCACCAAGGTGTATATCATATATTTTCACCACTAGCAGTATATTTAAACTTATGGGTGTATGATAAATTGACATTCATCATACAGGGCGTGGAAAGAGATTCTGAATTGAAACTCTATCACGAATGTGCGATTAGAGGTCTAAAAAAATCACAAGTTTCCATCGTTCAAGTTTGAACCTCCTGATTGGGTATATGAAAGTGTTGAAAAGGAATATTTTCAGACAAATTATGAACATACAAAAATGGATATATATTTATATGAAGCAATACATTGAGAATTCGCATTCTCTATGTGATGAGAATATCAACTCTTCTTCAGTTTATTCAATAGAAAACAACTACTTTCCTGGCTGTATGCCACGACGAACATTGACTTATATTTATTGAACACACAAGATGAGAGTTTGAAAATAAAATATTGAATCTTCTGAAATTGACAATTTGCGTTCTCCTTCGGACAAAAATATGTATATTATTATGCGAACGTTACAAGAAATCATGTAATGAAAAATTTTGAAATGTGCCTTGCATCAAACGGAAGGCAATTCGAACATTTATATCAAAATTATTGTGCCTAATTACTCGTTATTTGCATTTGCTGATGATGACATTCACATCTCTCTTCCACAACTATTGACCACAAGCAATCAAACCACCAATGGGATATAAAATCATACATATTGTAGGGTGCACTATCTGAAAAATTAAAATTGATGTTCGATTTTGTGAGCCTTTCTTGCACCCCTCGTATAAAATTCAGTCATTCCTGAAGTTTACAATCATGATGCGATATGATGTGGAATTATAATATTATGAAAACTCTCATTGGTTCAGGAGATATTCAACTGTCCCACTGGTCTAGGAACATTCTGTATATATATTACAATAAAAAAACAAGTTAGTATTAGTTACTAGATTCGGGTACCATTTCTTCAAATCAATTGGTGTTGATTATAACAGAGGTGGTTATGTCTTTAATACACTTGATGCTTTAAATCTGACTCATCAATGGTCGGTTTTATGGCTAGTGGAAAATAAACAGATGTATACAGGGTGTTTCTCAAGTACGTGTAGAAAATTCAGGAGCATGTTGCTGACGTCAAAGTGAGAAGAAAAGTTCGTATGAATATATATCTGAAAATTATTTGTTTCTGAGATACAGAATGTCAAAGTTGAATTTGTATTTTCGATTTTTGTTAATAGATTTCAAGATAATTGTGATATTAGGATGAAGTTTGATATCTAGGGATATTTTTCAATGATAATATCAAATTTTATGTTAGTTTGTCACTTTCATGGGGGTGGCGCCACCTATACAAGTCTTTTGAGTCTTCTGAAAAGTCATAATTCTTTTGTGCGTACCTGTCACGTTTCATAGTTGAAAAATAGATTTCCAGAACACTTTTCTGTAAAAAATATATTCTCGGTAGAGGTCGCAGAGAGCAACCTGTTCTTGAGGGTCTTGGGGTTTGAAATAATCGATGCATTTGAATCATTTTCATGAGGCTCATAAGATTTTGCGGAATGTTTTTCGTGCTTGCCTGTGGATTTTCTTAGATTGCCTGAAGAACAGCTCCTTCCATTACTATACCTTTTCAACTTCAATTTCGGAAAAAGTAATCTCGATTTCAGAATTGGTTAATTCGATTTCAGAAATGGTAAACTCAATTTCAGAATCGGTGAGATGAATTTCAGATAAAGTCCATTCAATTTCAGAAATGGTAAGTTGTATTTCAGAATTGGTAGGTTCAATTTCAGAAAAAAAATCCTTATATTTGTTCGAAATGTTTCCAATTGTATGTGGGATTAACAAACTATATTTTCAATATTCAACTTGTCGAAAACAATTCAATTACATAATTATTATAATCTCAATTTAATCCACAGATGCCTTCCATCCGAATCGCTGGAAGATAATAGCGTTGCACATGATTATGAGAATGCAAACACATTTGAGGTGTTATCATTTTCATTGAATGATCTTGCACGGGAGCATCCCACGATGCCCAATTCCCACGATGCCCAATTCCTATGATGCCCACCTTCATGTCGACGATTACGAAAATTGCCGAAGAGCGCAACGTTGCCAGGTCAAGAGAAAAATTCAGAAAACACAAGATTCTCACCATGCCCACTTTTCATATATTCCCACGATGCCCAATTCCCACCATGCCCACTTTTCATTCATTCCTACGATGCCCAATTCCCACCATGCCCAACCTCTTTAGATTCCCACGATGTCCTCCTTCTTAGGATTCCCACCATGCCCACTTTCCATACATTCTCACGATGTCCAATTCCCACCACGCCCACTTTTCGTACATTCTCACGATGCCCAATTCCCACCATGCCCACCTTCTTCAGATTCCCACCATGCCCTCTTTTCATACATTCCCACGATGCCCACCTCCTTCAGATTCCACCATGCCCACCTCTCATGCATTCCCACGATACCCGATTCCCACCATGCCCACCTTTATCATGATGGGAATCCAAAGAAGGTGGGCAGGGTGGGAATTGGGCATCGTGGGAATGCATGAAAGGTGGGCATGGTGGGAATCTAAAGAAGGTGGGTATCGTGGAAAGTTATGAAAAGTGGGCATGGTGGGAATTGGGCATCGTGGGAATGTATAAAAAGTGGGCTTTGAGAATCCAAAGAAGGTGGGCATGGTGGGGATTGGGCATCGTGGGAATGTATGAAAAGTGGGCATGGTGGGAATCTTGTGTTTTCTGAATTTTTTTCATGACCTATCAACGTTGCGCTCTTCGGCAATGTTCGTAATCGTCGACATGAAGGTGGGCATCGTAGGAATTGGGCATCGTGGGAATTGGGCATCGTGGGAATTGGTCATCGTGCTACGCACCCGATCTGCACATTCCTCAAGACATCGCAGTCTGAATTCTATCTGGTTGAGCAAGCTGTTCGGATCCCCAGCTATGACCCTTTGGCGATGCTCTTGCAAGAAGCTCTTCACTTCTTGAAGGCACCCCATTTATGTTCAATCTGATTCAACATAGGGCTCTAAAACACCGTTCATCCACTGTAAACAATCTTCTCTTTTGCAATTAAAAACATTTCAAACATATAAAAGGATTTCATCTTCTGAAATTGAACCTACCAATAATAATTCTGAAATACAACTTACCATTTCTGAAATTGAATGGACTTTTTCTGAAATTCATCTCACCGATTCTGAAATTGAGTTCACCATTTCTGAAATCGAACTAACCAATTCTGAAATCGAGATTACTTTTTTCGAAATATAACTCACCGATTCCGAAATTGAAGTTGAAAAGGTATAGAGTCTAGGAGTCAACGGCCTGCCATCACTGGAGCTTTTTTAACGGACCCAGACTCCATAAGACGCTGAAAAAGGTTTCTGAATGTCGGCAGTAGATATTAGGAACTCTTTCACTTAATTGTTATTTCTTCAAATTGGAAGAGTCCAAAAGAGTAGGTACAAAGAAGTAAGAATCATCTTTTGCCGATATTCCAATGTTGAATGTAGGAGAATATTTAATGAAAGAAGAAAAATGCTCTGGCGTATCTTTTCTGATATTTACTACTCAGAGGCGACTAATGAGCCCCATGGAAATAATTCAAATGCATCGATTATTTCAAATCCCAATAACTCTAAAACAGTTGTTCGCAGCGACCTCTACCAGGAATATATTTCTCACACAAAAGTGATTTTTGAATCTATTTTCCTACTGAAAAACGTGATACAGGTACGCACACAAAAGTTATGACAATCCAAAAGACTCAAAAGACATGTAGGTGGCGCCATACCCCCACGAAAGAGACAAACCAACATAAAATACTCCTAGATACCAAACTTCATCCGAATATCACAATTTATTTATTGACAAAAATCAAGAATAACAATTCAACTTTGACACTCTGTATCTCAGAAACGAAGAACTTTTGGACATATATTTATACGAACTTTTCTTCTTATTTTGACGTCACAGCAACGTGCTCCTAAATTCTCCACACGTATACTTAAGGAGCACCCTGTATAACTACTCAGTTTTTTTTTCATCCAACAATTGATCGCATACTGCACCAATTCTTGCCATTATATATTTTTCTGTCTGCTATATATTGAAATGAATCGTATCAACCCAACTTAAAGTATATTGAATCACGAGGGCAGAAAGTGAGCTTTAGCAGGTATCAGTAGCACTATAGTGACGTGAGGACAACTGGTAGCTAAAGCATAGCACTAACATATAACAATATACACTCGTTTTCAGATAACATGTTGCACTTGGATGGTGTCAACTCTCTGAATCACCCCTGCAATGCGAGCTGTTACGGGTGTATATTATTAACTGTAGAAAACCATCTCTGAAAAACCTACAAGTTGTCGAAACTGCTGCCTTCCGGACAGTTACACCTAGAGAAATGTCTATTAGATTTAATATGGAACTGTTTTCCTTTCAAAAGATTTCTGAATTCAATTGGCGTCAGCATAGGGGTCGAATGATTAGCATTTCAATATCAAATAAGTAGTGATATCATAAGAATTGAATAATACTCATATCAATATGATTTTCTTTCAATTCAATAGTCAAATGATTGGCATTTCAATATCATTGTGACTATTTTTTTACCAGAAAAATGTAGTGGGTTGAAGATCGTCGTGAAATATTGAAGACATATCTACTTAGTATACTCAACACCAAGTAATAATAATGAATCGTCTTTATTTGAACAGGTACACGATAGGCGTAGTTCAGCCAATGGCTACTCTTACACTTAACCTAGCA